AGACAGAGAATCAATAAGGAAACTGGATTTGAACACTAGATACCAAATGAACATAAAAGACATATACAGAACATTCTATTTGACAACAATACCATACACATTCTTCTCAACAGCTCATAGAACATTTTCTAGGATAGACCATGCATTAGGCCACAAAACAAGTCTTAGAAAATTCGAAAAGATAGAATCATACTAAGTATCTTCTCTGACTACAGTGTTATGAAACAAAAAATATCAATTACAAGAGGAGAACTGGAAAACTCATGAATGTATGAATATTAACACTCCTAAACAACCAATGGACCAAAGAAGAAATTAAAGAGAAAATAAAAAAAATCTTGAGACAAATGAAAATGGAAATACAACATACCAAAACTTACGGGATGCAACAAAAGCAGTTCTAAGAGGGAAGTTCATAGCAATAAACACCTACATTAGAAGCAAGTAAGAACTCAAATAAACAACCTAACTCTATACTTCAAGGAACTAGCAAAAGCAGAATAATCAAAGCCCAAATTTAGCATAAGAAAAGAACTAATAAAGATAAGAGCAGAAATAAATGAAATAGAGAACAGAAAAGCAATAGAAAAGATTAACAAAATTAAGAATTCATTCTTTAAAAAGATAAAGACAGTTGATAAACTAGCCTAGTCTAACCCAGGAAAAAAGAGAGAGGATCCAAATGAACAAAATTATAAATAAAAAAGAAAACATTACTACTGACGTCACAGAAAAACAAATAGAAAATGTGAACAAAACAATTACTAGTAAGAAGATTGAATCACTAATCACACATCTCCCAATGAAAAAAAGTCAAGGACCAGATGGATTCACTGGTGAGTTTCACCAAATATTTACAGAAGAATTAACACCAATCCTTCTCAAACACTTCCCCAAAACTGAAGATGGGGGAACACACCTGTGTTTGGCCCTGAGCTAACATCTGTTGCCAATCTTACTCTTTTTGCTTGAGGAAGATTGTTTCTGAGCTAACATCTGCGCCAATCTTCCTCTATGTGGGATGCCACCACAAGATGGCTTGATGAACGGTGTGTAGGTCCGTACCTGAGATCCAAACCTGCAAACTCCTGGCCGCTGAAGTGGAGTGTATGAACTTAACCACTACACCACTGGGCTGGCCCCAAGGTGTATTTTGAAAAGGTAAACAAAATTGACAAACTTGTAGCTAAACTAACAAGCGGGAAAAAAAGGAAGACAAATAAAGTCAGAAATGAAAAAAAGAGATATTAAACTGATGCCACAGAAATACAAAGATTATAAGAGATACTATGAATAATTATAAGCCTACAAATTGGATAACCTAGAAGAAATGGATAAATTCGTAGAAACATACCACCTACCAAGACTGAATCATGAAGAAATAGAAAATATGAATAGACCAATAACAAGGAGGAGATTGAATCAGTAATAAAAAGCCACCATCAAAGAAAAGTCCAGACCTAGATGGTTTCACTGGTGAATTCTACCAAACATTTAAAGAATAATTAATGCCAATCCTTTTCAAACTCTTCCAAAAGACTCAAGAGGAGGGAACTCTCAGAAGCTCGTTTTACAAGGCTAGCATTACTCTGATACCAAAGCCAGATACGGATGCAATAAGAAAAGAAAACTACAAGCCTGATGAATAAAATCCCTGATGAATATTGATGCAAATATTTTCAACAAAATACTGGCAAACCAAATTCAGCAGCACATTAAAAGATCATATTCCATGATCAATTGGGATTTATCCATGGGATGGGAGAATGGTTCTGCATAAGTAAATCAATAAATGTGATAAATCACATTAACAAAATGAAGTATTGAAATTGCATGATCATCTTAACAGATAGAGAAAGGGAATCTGACAGTTAAAACACCTTTTCATGAGAAAAATGCTCAATAAATTTGGTACAGAAGGAACATACCTCCACATAATAAAGACCGTATGTGATAAGCCCATAGCTAACATCACATTCATTGGTGAAAGTTTGAAATGTTTTCCTCTAAGATTAGGACCATGGTACCAGTCTCACCACTCCTATTCGGCTTAGTACTGGAATTCCTAGCTGGAACAATCAGGTAAGAAAAAGAAATAGAAGGCATCCAAATTGGAAAGGCAAAAGTAAAATATTCTCTGTTTGCAGATGATGATTTTATATACAGAAAACCCTAAAGAGTCCACCATCAAACTGTTTGAACTAATAAATGCATGTAGCAACGTTGAAGGATACAAAGTCAACATACAAAATTAGTTGCATTTCTATACATTAACAATGAAATATCTGAAAAAGAAATTTAAAAAACAGTCATTCACAGTAGCATCAAAAACAGTAGAATACTTTGGAAAATTTAAGCAAGGTTGAGAATGGCCTAAACGCTAAAAACCACATCACTTTGGTGAAAGAAATTGAAGAAGCACAAATAAATGGAATGTTATCCTGGGTTCATGGGTTGGAAGAGTTCATGTTTTTAAAATGTTGATACTACCTAAAGCCATGTATAGATTCAATGCAATCTCTATCAATATTCCCATGGCGTTTTTCCAAAAAGTAGAAAAAAAAATCCTAAAATTTGTTTGGTACCACAAAAGACCCTGAATAGACAAAGCAATCCTGAGAGAGAAGAACAAAGCTGAAAGCATCACACTTCCTGATTTCAAAATATAATGCAAAGCTATAGTAATCAAAACAGGATGGGACTGACATTAAAACAGACAGTATACGAATGGAACAGAATCAAAAGCCTGGATAAACCCTCATATATATTGACAACTAATATGTGACAAAGGGGCCAAGAATACTCAATGGGGAAATGATAGTCTCTTCAACAAATGGTGTTGAAAAATTGGATATCCATGTGCAAGAATGAAATTGTTCTCATACGTTATATCATTAACAAAATTAACTTGAAATGAATTAAAGACTTAAATGTGAGATCTGAAACCTCATACTCCTACAAGAAAATACAGGGAAAAAGCTCCTTGACATTGGTCTTGGCAACAATATTTTGACAGTACCCCAAAAGGACAAGCAACAAAAGCAAAAATCAACAGATGGGACAACATTAAACTAAAAAGCTTCTGCACAGCCAAAGAAACCATCAACAAAATGAAAAAGCAACATACAGAATGGCAGAAAATATTTGCAAATCATTTATCTGATAATGAGTTAATTTCCAAAGAATATAAGGGAGTCATACAACCAAATAGCAAAAGAACCCAAACAATGCAATTATAAATGGGTAGAGGACCTGCATGGAGATTTTTCAAAGAAGACCTACAAATGGATAACAGGTACATGAAAAGGTGCTCAACATCACTAATCAGGGAAATGCAAATCAAAACCACAATGAGATATTGTCTCACACCTGTTAGAATGGCTATCATTAAAAAGACAAGAGATGAATGTTGGCGAGGACATGGGGAAAAGGGAACCCTAGTACACTTTTGGTGAGATTGTAAATTGATATAACCTCTATGGAAAATAGTATAGATGTTCCTCCAAAAATTAAAAATAGAACTACCATTTGATCCAGCAGTCCCACTTTTGGGTGCCTATCAGAAAGAGATGAAATCACTATTTCAAATAGATATCTGCACTACTGTGTCCACTGCAGCATTATTTAAAATAGCCAAGACATGGAGACAACCTAAGTGTCTGTAGACACATGAAGAGATAAAGAAAATTTGGTATAACATACACAATGGAACATCATTCAGCCATTAAAAAGAAGGAAATCTTGTCATTTGTGACATGGATAGAGCTTCAGGTCCTCATATAAGTGAAATAAGTGAGACAGAGAAGACATTCATATAATCACACTTATATGTGGAATCTAAAAAAGCTGAACTCGTAGAAACATAGAGTCGAATGGTGGTTACCAGGGGCTGTGGAATGGAGGAAATAAGGAGATGTCGGTCAAAGGGTACAAACTTCCAGTAAGAAGATGAAGTTCTGAGATCTAACGTACAGTGTGATGACTATAGTTAACAATACTGTCATATATTAAATAATTGAAAGTTGTTAGGAGAATAGATCTTCAATGTTCTTACCACAAAATTAAAAAAGGTAACTACATGAGGAAATGGAGGGTTTAACTCATCGTATTGCAGTAATCCTTCCATAACATATGCATATATCAAAGCATCACATTGTAAACTTTAGACTTATGCAAGGTTATATGTCAATTATATATCAACAAAGCTGGGGAAAAAAGAAATGAAAATGTGGTATAGACATACAATGGAATATTATTCTGTCTTGAAAAAGAAGGAAATTCTTCCATATGGACCTGGCTATGGATGAACCTGGAAGACATTAATGCTAAGTGAAATAAGCCAGTCACAGAAGGACAAATACTGCATAACTCCACTTATTTGGGATGTAAGATAGTCACAGAAGCAGAGAATAAAATGGTGTTTTCCAAGGGCTGGGGGTAGAGAGAAATGGGTAGTTGTTCAATGGGTATAAAGTTACAAGTGTACTAGATGAAGAAGTTCTAGAGACCTTCTGTACAACATTGTGCTTATAGTTAACAATACAGTGTTGTGCACTTAAAAATTGTTAGGAGAGGAGGGGAGTACTTGTCCTAAGTATTCTTACCATACACACACACAAAAGCAAGGACACACGGGAAGTCTTTTGGAGGTGATGGATATGTTATTACCTTGATTGTGGTGATGGGAACACAGGTATGCATATGTTCAAGTGCATCAAAATGTTTAAATTGAATGTGTCAAGCTTTTGTATACTAAGTGTACCCCAATGAAGCTGAAAAAAAGGGAAGATATGATCAAGGAAAACCGAATAAATACAAGGAAGGGAAAATGATGAAATAGTTTATAGAAACTAGAGTAATACACAAGTGGCCATTAAATAAAATGTGGGAAGAAAATATTACAAATGCATAAAGAAAGACTAATAATACATGGAGTTTGGGGAATAGTGTGTGAATATTTAGAGTCTTCATGTAATTTTTCTTTTTAAACTTTATTTTAGGTATTAATTTATTTAAAAACAAAAATATACTCTCACCTCAACAAGAAGATTTCTCTACCAGGCACATCACAGCAAATAAATTCCCAACAAACGTGATCAATTTGTCACCCTTTGCCCAAAAAGGTAAAACTTACATGTAAAAATATAAGTATATAATTATTTAGAATAGTTTTTATAGTACAGTTTTTTATTTTACTAGTTTTGCATCTTACCTTTTATTCAGAAATTTCTTTGGTAAATCCTTGTAAGCCTGAATGAAATGGCTTTAATTTGTCCTTTTTACTGGCAGTATAATATTTCATTGTACAGAATTCTTAATTCAATCATTCTTCTCTTAAAGGGCATGGACTTTTTTAGCTTTTCACCACTACTAAATGTGTCCATGAACATATAGTTTTAGATATGGGTACTTTGATCTCCTTGGGGGAGAGTCCCAGGATTGAGATTGTTAAAGCAAACCTGGATTTTTAATGTTAAAAGATACTTCCGTATTGCTTTCCTAAAAGGCTATTAAAATTTACATTTTCACCAGCAACCTTGGGAAAAAATTATTTTTCTCTGCATAACCATCAGGCATACCACTTTGTGGGTCTTTTTCTTTGTTTGTTTCTTCATTTATGCCTATCTGTGAGTTACTGTCATATTTTATTTTAATTTTTTCCATATTTGTTAGTGTTCTTTTACTGCATAACCATCTCAAAACTATTTGGCTTAAAATAGTAACTATATAGTTCGTGATTTGGGAGTTAGCAATGTAGACTGGTTTTGGCTGGGCTACCTTATGCATCTTTGGTCAGCTTGTGGTCAATGGCTTCACTCACATGTCTGGCAACTGGCTTCCTGTTGTTTGGGACAATGAGGGTATATAGCTGGGGTCCATTGAAAGATAGAAACCTCACTAGTTGCTTGGAAAGAGAGCAAGAATTAAAAAACTAGTTAACTAAGTATAAAGTTTTTAACTAGATAACTGAAAGTGTAACGAGAACTCTAAGGTGACATGGAGGAAGAAATTTCAGGAAGCAGTTGCCACTCCTGAGGCTGAAGGAGACCTCTGAGTAGAGGAGGCAGCGTGGCTGGTGCTCGTGTCTCTGATTCTTCAGGAGGGGTCTCAGACACACTTCTAAAAAGGGAGCAATGCTACTGTCTCACTGGTGAGAATTTAAATAGAACTGTTTCTGCAAGTGTTGGAGAAAAACAAACCATTTATGTCAGGGAAGGAACTTCTGCTCCTGGGATAAAGAAGCATTGCTGGGTGATGGTCACAGGAACTGAATAGAGACCTGAAGCTCTCAGGAAACCCACTGTTAACCAAATAGGAGAAACAAATTCTTGTTTCTCCTTCAAACTTGTGGTCTCCCTCTGGTGTCCCCTATTTCCACAGCCGAACATGGGGTGACCCGGCAAAGCAGAAATGTGGTTTTCAGAGTCCCAGGGTTTAGAAGGGTGGTTTGGGAGCCAAGTGGCACAGGAGGTGACCTGGCTCCGTGTCTCTCCTCATCCAGCAGATTAGATGAGGAGTCGCCATGTTGTAACCTCAGGTTCTGGAGCAGCATGTGGGTGAGCCTCCATATACAATGAAGTGTAAAGTCTCTGCTGGCATTTGTTTGCTTTTGTCCCATTCACTAAAGTCATATAGCCAAGACCAAAGTTGTGTAGAAGGACATGGATACAAGTAGTCAAGAACACACTGAGGCCATGGTTGAAACAAGTCCACCACAGTGTTCCTCCTGGTTGCAAGCATTCACGACTCCAACACATATGCAAAATACATGTGCTCTTCCCAGAACCCAATACATTCTAATTAAAATTTGGGATCAAGGCCAAAGACCACAATCTTGTCATCTATAATCATTTTCAGACACAGCTTCTATGATGTGACTTCCCACAAAACAAGCACAAAATACAACGGCAAGACAGGGATAGGCTCTACAGTAGGCACTCTTCTACAAAAAGGCAGGAAAAAACAGGGGCACATAGCAGTCAATAATCCATGCATTTAGATAGTCTTTTCCATTATCCAATTACATTATATTTTAACTACATTATAATTTTCTCAATAAAAATATGCGTGCAAAAACAAATGAACCAGGATGTTGGGAGATCCCAGGATGGAATGCGGACTGGGACATTTGGAACTGACTGTATTATAAATGTATGACAAGTGACGTCAGCATCCTGATGGCATAAAGTACCCCTAGTTTTTGTCCCCTCCCAACAATAAAAATCTGGTGTCCATTCATGAACAAAAATGCCTTTGTGGGAGTTGTGGGATCCAGCATCACATGCCAAGGGACCGGAGGAGTCTCGCTCACCCGTGCATCAGGCAGACAGACTTCCATCCTGGCTGTGGACCCTGCAATAGCTTGTGAACTGGATTCAGTCCCTCTCAGCTGCAGTGTGGAAGCACCTGGAGAACACTGACTTGGGCAATCACCCACAGACAAGAGACCTTTTGTGTAAGTCCAGGTTTCCAGAGGAGAAGTTACAGCACTACAGTGTAGTAAAAAATAAGAGTTTGGACACATTGGCATGGATAAAAGGAACAGTTTGACTTTGCCCACATCACACTTCCCCCAAGGTGGCACAGCTAGGGCCAATGGAGACCTTCTCATCCCATGATTTCTCCTATGGAGGGAAGGGAGAACAAGTGAGTGAGAACCAGACTTCCCCAGCTGTGCAGGACACCATGAAAGACACCCATTTTTCTCTTGTAGCATCCAGAGTACTAAATTGTAGGGTGAGAGGAGATCAGGAGAGTGGCAGGTAAGATTCTCAGAGAGCATCAAAGGGATGAGCTTCCTGCTGACTGTGTTGTAGATTCCATCAGGAAACCTTCCCATGAACTGCTGGGAAAGCCTCACCTGCAGATCCCCCCAACTGGCCATGAGCACCTCCAGTGACAGACATGCCTTACCCACACCTTGCCCCACTCTGCAGCCAGCTTCCTGTGCTCACTCTGAGGCGGGCAGCAAGAGAAAGCTTTGGTGGACAACTAGGGACGACTTGCGGAAAGCAAGCCAGGGTCTGTGGGCCAGAAAGAAACCACAAACTTGAGCTGCAGTGGCATCCAAGGGATAACAAAGGGAGGTGATAGTTCTTTGTGGTTTTGATTTGCATGTCCCTAATAATTAGTGATGTTGAACATCTTTTCATGTTCCTATTGGCCATCTGTATATCTTCTTTGGAAAAATGTCTGTTCATATCCTCCGCCCGTTTCTTGACTGGGTTGTTTGGTTTTTTAGTCTTTGAGTTGTATGAATTCTTTTTATATTTTGGAAGTTAACCCCTTGTCAGATAAATGATTTGAAAATATTTTCTCCCAGTTAGCGGGTTGTCTTTTCATTTTGTTGATGGTTTCCTTTGCCTTGCAGAAGGTTTTCAGTCTGACATAGTCCCACTTGTTTATTTTTTTCTCTTGTTTCTCTTCCCTGAGTAGAAACGGCATTCAAAAAGATACTGCTAAGAGCAATGTCAAAGACTGTACTGCCTATATTTTCTTCTAGGAGTTTTATGGTTTTAGGTCTTACATTCAGGATACCACCTTACACCTGTCAGGATGGCTATAATTAACAAGACAAAAATAACAAGTATTAGAGAGGATATGGAATAAAGGGAACCCTCATACACTGCTGGTGGGAATGGATACTGGTGCAGCCACTATGGAAAACAGTATGGAGATTTCTCAAAAAATTAAACCTGGAAATACCAATGATCCAGCTATCCCACTACTGGGTATTTAGCCAAAGAACGTGAAATCAACAATTCAAAGAGATTTATGCACCCCTATGTTCATCGCAGCATTGCTCACAATAGCCAAGATGTGGAAGCAACCCAAGTGCCAATCAATAGATGAATGGATAAAGGAGATGAATGGAAAACAGCACAGATGAACCTTGAGGGTACGATGTTAAGCGAAATAAGCCAGATAGAGAAAGACAAACACTGTATGATTTCACTCATATGTGGAAGATAAACAGACACATGGATAAGGAGAACAGATTAGTGGTTACCAGAGGGGAAGAGGCTGGAGGGAGGGCGAGAGGGGTAAAGAGGCACATATGTATGGTGATGGATTAAAAACTAGACTATTGGTAGTGAACACAATGCAGTCTATGCAGAAACTGATATATAATAATGTACACCTGAAGTTACACAACGTTATAAGCCAATATGACCTCAATAAAATAATTAAATAAAAATAAATAAATAAGTAAATTTTAGAAAAAGGTGGCTGTCAGCCCTCAGCCTATTGTGTTGCAGGATACAGAGAAGATACACAAGCTTATGAATCTACCACAAGAGGGAGCAAGAAGCATGAAGCAAGTGCATCCATTCAAGGTCTGAGAAAGCCTCAGAATCTCCAGCAGGGCTGATGGAAGGTATTTCTTCCCTGAAGGCAGTTAGTCAAGATTGGAGGTGGTGACTGCTACCACAAATACGAAGACAGCAACACAAAATTCCAAGGAACGTGAGAAATCAAGGAAACACGATACCACCAGAGGATCAAAATAATCTTCCAGTAACCAAACCCAAAGACATGGAGACCTACAATTTAGCCAATAAAGAATTCAAAATAGCGGTTTTATTTTATATATGTTAATAATAACTATATAGCATTATTAATATATATAAATAATATAATTCTATCTATAATAGAATACTATTCAGCTATTAAAAAAGAAGGAAATCCTGCCATTTCCAACAACATGGATGAATCTTAAGGGCATTATGCTAAGTGGAATGTCAGACAGAGAAAGACAAATACTCTATGATCTCACTTCTGTGTGGGATCTCAAAAAGCTGAACTCATAGAAACAGAGAGTGGCATGGTGGTTTTCAGGGGCTGGTAGGGGGGGAGTGGAGGAAGTGGGGAGATGTTGTTCAAAGGATACAAACTTCCAGTTATAAGATGAATAAGTTCTGGACATCTAATGTACAGCATGGTGATTATGGTTAACAATACTGTATTATGTACTTGAAAGTTGCTCCGAGAGTAAGTGTTAAATGTTCTTGCTACAAAACAAGATATGGTAATTATGTGACATGATGGAGGTGTAAACTAACACTGTGGTGCAAATCATTTTTTAATATGTAAGTGTATCAAATCGACACATTGTACACCT